GCTTATGGTCCCAAGGCGCCTTTTACTCAGCCTTAGCCGTCAGGGGGTTACAGCTTCTGAAACCAGGCAGGGCAGTTCCCAACATTCAGGGTCATCTTTCTGTAGTCTATCTGCATTTCTTCTCGGTACATCTTATGTCATGTTTTCCATTTGAACACTGGTTTTGAGAAAGAGGATATCAAGACAAATATTCTTTCTCTGCTTAGGAAGGGAAGTATGTGGCTTACCCACGTCACATTTGTTTAGCCTTTTAATTAACTTATTTGCACCTTCAGATATGCATTTATCGTATGTGCTGATATCTTAGGTGTCGGCAAATTAGCTGTCTCCATTTATATGGGAGTTGTCATTTGTGTGTAAACATGTAATGCAACAGGAAGTGGGATTGAAATTGCTAGTTTTTAGCACCAAACAAGCTGCTTAATTTAAGCCAGGTTCTTTGTGAAGTTGGTTATTTGAGATCATATCCCATGGAGTCAGCAGTGACCATTTCCCCAATTTCAGAATTGTTTTTGCAGATGTAGGGTTTCTAAAATTTACTTTTGTTTTTCATGTTCTTCATATTCGAGCCTTGACTTAAAGTGTTTTGATCATTTTTCTAATGTGCCATAACTCGCAAATTTTATTCAGAAGATAGTATATTCTAATTTTTTCTGTTAATCTGTAGTGTTCAATTTAGTTGACTTCCTTTCCTTAATTTTCTCAGAATTCATGTATATCAAGCATATCCATAACATCAGAAATCACTATCTAGATATTATATTATTCATTGCTTAGAAAAGCAATTATTTACTATCCAAAAATAATGTTGGTGTTAATCTAAGACATTTGGGAGTTATTATATTAGCAGCCACCAGATCCAGAGTCCATAAATTCCTTTTCAAATTTTAGAAAACTCAACTTTAAAAAACTTTGTAGTTCCGAAGAAGGGAAAGAAATTTGTATCTTTTCTTGAGAAGGCCTTTACCTTTGCACTATTACACATTTTAAATTGGATATTCTGTTGAGGGTTGCTGTCCTATTTATTGCAGCTTGTCAGTATCCTGGTCTCCACTCCAGCTTTGACAATGGGAAATGTCTGTAAACAGTATCAAATGTCCTGGGAGTGGAAATCAGGAACAGAAATTTTCTAACATTGAGAGATGTTTATTTTACAGTTTAGTAACATTTATAGTTTTCCTTTTGGACATGACTGTACATATTTTATAAGCACATATAGCCTGTCTACAGTCCAAAAGGAATGTGAGTAAATTAAAACTGAACACTATAAAACGTGCCATATAACAGAAACCTATTGACAATAGGAAAAAAGCAAGTATTTCTAGGAATTTATAATGAGACTGTTGGTATAGTTGAACATTGTATTTATTGTTGTTTTTGGACAACAAAGAACAAAAAGAAAAATGTTAAGATTATAAATAAGAGAGCTGACTTGATAGGACCCATAAAGTTGCATACCGGATTGCACGTAACATAATAATTACTTCCCATTCTTTTTTTTTTTTTCCAAGATAAAGTGAAATCTTTTCGTGCAGCTCTACAAGAAGAAGAACAGGCCAGCAAGCAAATCAACCCGAAGAGACCCCGTGCCCTTTAAATTGGCGTTTGCTGCTAATGGATCCCTAGAACCCTCACTGTTTTAACACACAAGGTTCAGCTGTAAGGGCCATTTGAGAGTTTGAAATTTAGTGTCTGTGGAAAATGTCTCGTCCCTCCGCCTGAATGACATTTCAGTTTTGTGAAACACAGCATTGTCTACAAAATGCTTCTAGTCCAGGAGGCACAGCCAAGATTTGGGGATGGTGAAGCATTTTGTTTCATTTACCCAAATAGTGATTTCCTTTTAGAGATCCCTGCCAATTTTATTTTCTGTATGATGAAGATTGTGGGCTTGATCCAAGGGTGAATAGTAGGGGGCAGCCACCGCATTTCCTAACTCAGTTCAATTTCCATAGCAAGACTGAGCAGTTTTAAATTCTTTGCGTGCATGCATACCTCATATGTGATTGTACATACCTTGCCCACTCCTAGAGATAGCTGTGCTCACCTATTCCTGCTTTGTGCCTTGACTAAGGCTATTAACCCTAAATTTCTGAAGCACAGCCAAGTTAAATTACATTCCTTATTTGTACTTGTAAATTACCTTTATTGTGTGTACATTTTTACTGTATTTGAGACATTTTTTGTGTGTTGCTAGTTAATTTTGCAGGATGTGCCATATTATTGAATGGAACTGAAGTCTGTGACAGTGGACATAGCTGCTGGACCACTCCATCTTATATGTAAAGAAATCTGGAATTATGATTTTAAAACATATAACATGTGGATATACTTTTCTTAGCATTTGCTTTGTAAAGAACTAAAATATAAACTAGTTGGTGTATAATAAAAAGTAATGAAATTCTGAGAAAAGTTTTATCTTAGGATAATACATATATATGCAGTGTGTTCCAGTGTGTTATTACCAAGACTAATAGTGCAATTTGCTCCTTACCAACACCGTTACTTAAGTTGAAGTGTCCATTAGCACCCTAAAATGTACCTTTTAAATGTACTGTTAAAGGAAATTGGCTTTTGATGCATGGCCATTTACATAATACATTGAAAGTAGTCCATAATAGAACTGTTAGTTTAAGCCAAGTGTAGACAGTATGTAACTCCCTTGAAAAAGAATTAAGCTAAACAAGAGTTGACTTCGCCATTAGAGGCAGATCTAATCCAAGCTCCATCTGTTATCCAATGTGTGATATCTCACCGTTACTTGATGAGAATCACCAGATTCTCACCCCCAAATTGGTCTAGGGGTATTGCTACTTTTTAACTGGTAGCACTTATTTTTACAGATTGCTACTCCAGGGAAGAAAACTGGCCACTTTTCTTGTAAATATTTTGTTAAATGATTTATATCTCTCTCTAGGAGGTTTCCCTCAGTTTCCTAGGAGAGTCCGGAGCAGATTAGCAGCAACAAAAAGTCTCCCAAGAATATCTACTAGCTCATTCATATGGGCCAAAGGGAAACTATGAATAGAGTCACCCGAGCCAGATTCCCTACTTCACTTCATAGAACTCAGAGGGTAGTTGTGGGAAATCCTAACACCATGGTGAAATGCTCCTCTGTAAACTTGAAACCTAGAACAAATGTAGATTTTCACAACGTGCTTATTAATAAATGGAATCTATGGAATGAGTTTAGAGATAATTTTTTTCAATATAATCACCTTTGTTTTGAAGGGACTCAGGTTTTCCTGCAGCTCTAAGATATGTTCTACTTGTGTTTATTTCAAAGAGAAGAGTAATAACGAAGAACTGTTACTATTGACCTTGCCGAGTCCGTTTATAAAGCTAGTTTTTGAGCCTAACCAACCTTCAAAGGGCAATAAAAAGATGTGAGCTTGCTCATTGTAAAGCACAACAGATTAGTCTTTATTGTTTAATAGATGGGTACTATCTCTAGAAGGTCCCCTTACATCCAAATTTACTGCCTTATGCTATAATGGCTTCCTTCTGACCAGTAATCAGGTATATAAACAATCACTTGCCAGTAAAGATCTTGGTGGTATAATCCAGTATCCTTCAGTTTTACAGATGGAAAAACTAAAGGTCAAAAAAGGGACAAACTCAGCAGTTACTGGGGCGGAGAGGGAAAGCTGAATTAATTAAATCTTAAAAATTTCCTATAAGAATGGAGATAATACAAGGGAATTTTGAGTAGTAGTTTTGTGATATTTTTAAAAACCTACTCTAAGGTATATTTAATATTTATATAGCAAAAATAGCTTGATGCGGCTATTTTAAGAAATAATTTTTGGATCTGGGTTAAACAAACATTCTTTACCTTCTTAGTCTTGAAAACTGATATCACTATTAATAAATAGCTCAGAACATACATTATTTTCATTCTATAGAAATACTTTAATATATCACTTTGAAGTCATATTTTTTTAAAAATCTCTTTAGGTAAACGACTTCCCTTCTAGGTTTACTCAGTGTACTTTTGTTAAAATAATTTGTAAACACTCCTTCTGTTAAGTTAGGCATAAAGAAAGCCAAATATCAATGAAGGTACTTTTATTTCCTTATATAAATAAAATAACCAGCTATTATGTATAATTCTTTAATAAAGGACATTAACAATTAGTATATTGGTAATGATTAAAACATAGTAGCTAATTAAGACTTGGTTATGACATCTATTGAAATTCTCAACCATACATTTCAGAAATACCTTAAAATAATCACCCAGAAGTTAGAGAAATACTTGTGGGAAAATGAATGGTTGAGGTTTTTTGCTTGTTTTGAAATTGAAGGGCAGAGATTTTAAATTTTACATTGTTTTGATTTACAGTGCCTTTGGAAAATTTCATTAAACCTATGACTATCTCCCCAAGAAAAAAATCACATCATCTATTTCATTTCATATTGTCGTTGAGCATCCTCATTTACAGGAATCATGCTTAGAAGTAATGTGTCTGGCACCACATGGCCTCAGTAGCTGGTGCAAGCTTTCCCAGAGCACTAGCGTATATGCTGATGTTATAGGCTAGCTACAGAGGTAAGCAATGACAAGTTGTGTAGGGTACACGGAACAAAATTAAAGCAGTTTAAGACTGTTTTTGCTATACACAAGAAGGACAAGAAATGGTATGGTGGGCATGTGACTCAGTTAAGCATATTTTAACTTTATACCTAAGGGATAAAGACCTAAAGAGCTGAAAGTCTAAAGAGGTCCTCACGGTAATATAACATAGAAAGTAGAAAAGTAACATCTTCATGAAATAACCTGTTAGAAATGGTACGTTAAAGGGTAAAGTTGTGCGTGTCTGCGGCTCTTGAAGATAATTGTGTCTAGATTGGCCTCTGGCCTAAGTAAGATATTAAAAAACAAACCCAAACCAAAAAAATTTGGGTACTTAAACTGACCTACTTAACTGTCTTAGAAATGCAGAGTAATAACTGGTAACAACAGTAGTATTAAATAAAAAATTGTCACAGTGTCCCAATGAACGAAAGCATCCTTCAGCTTCTCAGATTATTAAAAACATACAGTTCCAGTTTCTTTTGAGTTTGAAAAATTCTGTCTTCCAGACCTAAGAAAAATGGATACCTTCTGCATTGAATCCATGTAGTAATCTGAAAAAAGAAACCAAAATGAGATGGTACTGGAGAGCTCATTTGTGGCACATAACTGCATATAGTTCCCATACTATGAATTCTAAAACATGAACACATCAGCAAACCTCTGAAGCTTACTCACAACTAACACTAGTCATCAGAGGAACATTATTCGTCAATAAAGTTTGTAAGATACATATTGGTTAAGACCCCATTTTTTGACACTTTTGTCATAGCCTGTATGTCTTGAATTTACCTCTTCCCATCCCAGACCTAAGAGCTCATTAGTACTTGGTTCAACATAGTAAATGAACAAGAACCTACTTGGAATTAGAGATAGAAGACAGATGAAGAGCTAATTATGTATGTCTATTCTTCCTCTGAGCTTACTGTTACCCAAGTTCAAATCTATATACCTATTATATACTTAGATCCGAGTTAGCAAACTACATGTGCTTACCAACCATGAAGAAATTTGGTGAGAATGAAAGGAATTAAGATGAAATATTTCTATTTATACCTGAGATTATATTTAGGATGTCTCGTAAGGATAGGTCAAGATTGGTTAAAATGTCTTAAAAAAAGGAAGCTAGGTACTTAAATATTTAACTGCTAGGATTAACATCTAACAAAGAGTAGTATTACTAAATAACCTGCCAATATAAAATACAAACCCTATTTGTCTCAGTTACATAGAACTGTTTCCAGCTTAGAAAATTGAAACCAAACGATGACTTGTAACAATCTACCCTCATTCTTTATTCAGTCCCTAGAATATGGAAGGTTTAAAAATGAATTAGCTAAAATGGCAAAAACTTCTGCAGGAACTGGTAGTTTATTAGGAAATCAGTGTTAAGTGATTAAAAACAGTGAGTACAGGTTTGTAATTACCTGGGTAATTGAAGCCTTACTCTGCTTTCATGAGAATTACTTGTATAATTTAAGGGAAACAAGTTGGTGTACACTGCCCAGATAATTACAAAACAAGTAACTCTATCACTAAACCAGTTAGAAATGATAACTGGGTATGTTTGTAACAAACTATTCCGTGCCTAGGGTCTATTTAACAATAGCTATGCCCAATAAAGAAAAACATGAAGTCCAACTACAAGTATTATAATCTTGCCATACAAGCTATGTGAAGAGGCACACTATTATAGACTATGAATGGAGTTAGGGGAGGGGGTCGGAGGGGAGGAGCACACACACCACAACACATAGACTTAGAGGCTAACTCCAGGCTAGGACTGTTATTTACTAGTGTTCTTAAAACGTTCATTCTGCTGCAGCTAACGCCTCCATCTTCTACACCAAATACTATTCCATGCCATGGAAGTGCTGTGCAATAACTCCCAGGTAGCACCTTACACCACTTAAAAAGCCTTTAAGTTTCTAATCTGAAGGTGTCACAGTGAAGAAGTGTAAACACGTGGGAAAAGAAAAATGTAATTACCTGATAAAGTCATCTATGTCCATGGACCGGGCCCGCTTGTCACTGAAACCTGTGCTGGTTAGGATTTGCTGTATTTTATCTGCTATGCTGAAATCTTCTGGTATTATCTATCAAGATTCAGAATAAATGAACAATGTATCTTTAATGAAATCACCTTGACTCTTTTTTCTTCAGTAAGTAATAAAATAGTTACCATCTGTCCATGACAGTTTAGAAAGCCTCTTTGTGCAGATAAAACCTGGATCTCTAAGTGATCTTTGGTACATACCAAATACTTAGAAGACCTTGAATTAATTAATCAAGTATACTGCCCTCTTCCTTAAATATTCTGTATCAGTTTCGGGCTTCACAAAGTACATCATAGCAAATTATTACAGCTGTAAACTAAATTTTAAAGGAATTCTTACTCCTTTAAAATAATTCATTTTCTTGGCACAAATCTCATATCCCAGCTTAATTTTTCTCCAAGAGATGGTCTCTTCAACCATCTTAAGGCATATTAAATATATCCTACTTTACCATTTTCATCCCAAAATTTTTCTTCACCTAGCTTATTATTTTCTTAGGCAATATTTTAATGACTTTGTCCATAAAAGAAAATGGAGGTAGCAATGTGATACATTAAACCATCTGAGTCCAAAAATAGAAAGAAATTTGCTTTTATCTGCCCTGCTTAAGTAATTGGAAAGAACTAGTAAGTTACGACACAGCCATTACATGTGGACATATGTGTGCTCACAGACACAAAACTGGTTAAAGATAATGCCGCGCTGATGATGATGAAGAGGCATGAAGCTCACGACCAGAAATCCATTCGGTCTATATTTTAATCAATATCTGGGTAGTAAAAAGTTACTGAGAAACGTAACTTCATAACTGCTACATGAGCAACAAACAAGAAGGGATGGTCACAATTATTTTAAGCTGAGCAAGCTGCACATGCCGAAACCTCTGAGGAAGTTACAATTCAGCGGAATCTCTGTGGCTAAAAGAACTATCAGTGGTTAAAGAAGACGGTGGAGTAATCAAGGTTGCTTAGACCTGTTCCACAGAATATACATCAGCACTGGCCTGTAAAAATTGTGCTAGTTATACATTACACAATGTTTCTTAAGTATCTTTGAAATATACAAAATTAAAGAATCTTTTAATGATAGATAAAAATAAATAGGGACATTTAAAAACCCAATAAATCGTTGAAATCACAAACATTTTCTACTTACAGTATTATGGACTGAACAGTGAATTCTGTAGTTTTTTTCCAATAGCTGCTGTACTGCACTTGACCTATAGCATAAATGATATCACTATTATTATTACAAAACTAGAGATCAATAATTATTGATCTTTCAGTTTACCTTTCAGTTTACAGAAAGACCAAATCTATGTTTCCTATGGTGAAATAAACTAAAAAAGGTGTTGAAAACTTAAACTTACAAAATAATAACAAACTACATCATTACATTTTAAAAGTAATGAACGTCCTAATGAACATCTCAAATTTTTAAGGAAATTCTAGACTCTCCACAAAACATCACCACACACACAGAAAATCTAAAATTATGGCTTTCACCTCTTTTACCCTTAGGCCCTAAAATGTAGTTAAATTTTTCCCAAGTTAATAAAATTAAATGAATCAAATGCAAATGTGGAAGGGGTTCGTCATCACTCCATTTTTCCAGGGAAAAACCAGGGAGATGTGTGGTCACTTTTTGTTTCCCTGTTTTGCCAAAAAACACCTGGTCTAATTCCCCACTCCAGGAACTTTCTTCATTCAATGCTCCTGCCTCCCAAAGGACAAAGTTAGCTGGAAAGGTGAAGTGTGTCTGGACGTGGACTGTCGTTCTGCGCGGGCAGTCTGTTCAGGAAAAGGATCCGATCCCAGCAGCTAGCACAGTGTGGAGCACAGGTTCCTTGCAGGCTCTAGAGTAGAGAACTTACTTAAATGCAGCAGACAGTGTCTTGTTCTTCCTAACAAAGGTGATCCTCACCAGGCCATCCCATTCCTGAAACAGAAGATGGGTATTTGCTTAGAAAATATCAAACCTCTTTCCCAGGCCTGAGAGGTAATGTTTTGTCTGTTAGTATAATATATAAAACTGGAAGGAACCTTCTGGAGTGATAAAAATGTTCTATATCTTGTTTTGGCTGACACACATGCAAAAATAAGATGTATACTGTTTGGAACTTTTGTACACCTCATTGAATATTTTATCCCCACTTCTAAAAATTAGAAAAAATACATAACTGTTCCACAGCTGAACAAAAAACGTCATGTTTTGGCATCTAAAGTCTCACGTGGCATCTGTCATATGGCATTTTCAAGAAACACGACTGAGAGCAAACATGATGTAGAATGTGTCCTGGGCAACACCCGAACCTCCTTGAAAGGGTAACTGACAGAGCCCTCCATTTACCACCAGTTACTGACCAAAAACGCAACCACGTTTTTATTCAAAGTGATGGCAGTAAGGCTTTACATCAGGTGGACTGGCTTCCTTCTCTTTTTAAATCACAAAAGCAAGAATTCTGATTAAAAAGTGTTACCCGTACTACCACTATAATGACTATTTTCACTTTCTTTTCCAAGTCTCATTCAAGTAGAGACACATTTTCTGCAGCTATAATCTTTAAGAAAATGCAATGGCATTCTAATTCTTTTCCCATTTGCAAACATTTCCTGTGTACTTTTGTGGTCTTCACAACTCTCTTGACTCAAATTATTCCCTCTACTCCCATCAGAGGGATGTTATCACAATTAACATTTTCCTGTGAAGACATTTAGGTTGACTCAGTATTTTTCTGCTGCGAAAGACACACATCTTCCACTTTGGACATTTTTTGTCCCCTTTTATTGAATGACCTAGTATTTGAACCTCACCTGAAAATTGATAGGTGGTGGTGGATTCTTAGGTTCTATTCTTACAACACTGGATTCCACCTTTGGTGGTGGTCTGAAGTTATTCTTCCCAACCTGTTAATCAGAAAATGTTTATGTAGTTCTCTCAAAAATAACTAAGTTAGTAATCAAATATGCTCTCCTCACAGAAGACACAGCCAGATGCTCAAGGATGACTTAAGTCACATTATTTCAGTAATGGTCACTCACTTTCATTAGATGGTCCACACGTGCTAACAGTTGTGTATTAATTGACAGTCTGCAGTACAACTTATCTCCAGGTTTTGCAACCAATCGGAGAGCAAATTCTCTCTGAAACATAAGTATTGCACATCTGAAAAGACAGCAGACGGGAATGAGGAAAATGGTTACTGTCAGCTATAAATGTGTTTGAATCTCAACAGGTTTTCTGCGGCAGGAAACAGAGCAAAGCAGTATCTACAGTTCATGATCATCAGTCCAGTTGGTGAGAAAGTAGGAGAACACTTAGCCTTAGCTTTATTACCAGTAAATGATCAGTTGGCTTTTTCATTTTATGATGGCTACCCCTTTGACCCTTTGCTAATGTAAGCCCTCAATGATCAGATGAGAAAGTATTTCAGATCAGCACTAGTCTGTATCACCCTTCTAGGAAAACAAAACTCAAACAAAATTGGCTCAGTAGACAAATTACATTCAGGGGTAAAAAACGCCTTTACAGAAGAGCTGAAGAAGATTATGAAATCAGTGTTGTCCAGATTAAGGAATGTGGGTTTTTTTTTTTACTCAGCAAGTAATGGGAAGACTTTTGGAGGCTCTTAAACATAAGATCATCTTCAAAGCTGGATTCTGACTTTCAAACTTTTTTTTTTAAAGATTTTATTCATTTATTTTTAGAGGGGAAGGGAAGGAGAGAAACATCAATGTATGGTTGCTTCTGGTGCATCCCCCGCTGGGAACTGGCCCCTGCTGGGAACTGGCCTGCAACCCAGGCATGTGCCCTGACTGGGAATCAAACTGCGATTGTCTGCTTCGCAGGCCTGTGCTAAATCCACTGAGCTACACCAGCCAGGGCTCAAACTTTTTTGACTGTAAGTCACACTAAGAAATACATTTGACACTGACCCCAGGCAACACAAAAAATACTTTTGTAAAACTATAATCACCTGGGCCACATGTACTTAATACCCTCAGATATATTCTATTCCATGTCATTGAAAAAAAAAGTTGTGACCCACTGAATTTATTTTATAACTACTCAGGGGTTTTTGACTTGCAGTTTGAAAATGATTGGTCTAGACTATACTGGAGACACTTTAGGAGGTCACTGCAATTGTGCAGACATAAAGCAATGAACTAATGGCAAGGGGATGAGAAACTGGGGAAAGGTCATCTGGTCTCAGAAACAGACTGACACCACACCTCTGCAAATAACTGTCAATTGAAAGGAGAGAGAGAAAGACCTCCACACAAACAGATATTTTCTACAAAAACAAATTGTCCAGAAGTTTTTCAGTTGAACTAAGTTTCATCTTTGGCTGTCTGTGTTCATGCTTAAATTGTCGATCTTTCTACGATTAGGCAGTCACTTTGGTATTTGTCACAAACCTGAAAAAAGGCCGGTGCAGCAACAGCTTGAAGACAAAAGGAGAAGAGATCTGAAAGAGAATTAACTGGTTATTTCTGGGAAAGACACACCAGAGAAACATTTAATATAATGTTCCTGACAATCTGAAGACATACCTGGTAAGGCAAATTTGCCACACACGCATCAAAGAATGGCAAATCAGTTTTCAACACATCACCCACCATTACTTGAAGTTTGCTGGCCAGAGGTCTGATAATAAGAAAAACATAATTAAAAAAGAATGTTGTTTCATGAGACTGAAATGCACTTTAATTCTATTATGAATACTCACGTGCCCTGAACTCTTTTGTGAAGTTCAGCTACTAGCCTTGGGTCAAGTTCACAGGCAATTACCTTAATTGAGAAAAAAAAATTTTTAGAGTGATTATGGAGTATAAAACTTTTCTTATCTCAATAGTAACTCTTATAGGATTTATATGAATTGCACTTCTTTTCCCCAATTCAATCATCAATATTCCTTCAATTGTTCTCTACCATTTCAAACAACAAAAAACACCACCCAGAAATGTGGTCAGCTAGAGAGTTTGACCCAAATAATCGACAGAATTATCATGCTCATCGGGCTCCATGGTTTGGAACTGAACAGAAGATAAAAAAATATACAGGAAATCTGTGTAGTAGAAGTTCTAGACATGTAGTAAATGTCTTGTATGCAGAAGCATTCAAGACAACTTCTGCTAGAATGAGTAAATCATTTCTGTTATCTATTAAGTCCATAGTAAACACAATAGCTAATTTCTGAAGTAAATGTAAAGGGATACCAGGTACCGTTGAAATTATAATTTTATTTCACTATCAGGTGAGGTTTCATGTCTTGCAGGAAGACAGTGTCTACAGAATGGATACACGTGCTGCTTAGTCTATATGGCTCTCAGTTCCTTTCTCCAGCTTTCCCTGTGCCCCGTAGAGTGATGCAGACCAGCTCCCTTTGCCCTTTGACTTCTGGTTGGGATTGGCCAGTGAGAGGAACCCCCATCATAGGGCACAAGGACAGAGGGTGAGTATTTCCTAAGGCCTGTCCATGCCTTGCTGGTGTTCTGACAGTGGCCTCTGTTCAGTGGCTTGGTAACACAGTCCCCTCCCCTTGCCCCTTGAGTCCTTTGAATGGTAACTGTTACCTGCTGTTGCTAGTCCCTGGGTCCTTCACTAATGCTTAGTGGTTCCTTTTAACCCCATTCCCACCATTACAAAAATATCAATTTGTAAGTAGTCTCTTCATTAAATTCTCTTCAAATAAGTGCTTTAAAATGGGCTACCTGCTTCCACCAGAGGACACAACAGTGGTTCCATCTAATTGGACACTGGGTCAGCCATGAGACAAAGAAGGTTCTAGCAGCAGCCGGGTGGCACCCTAAACTCAGGGGCTTGTGCTGCAGTTCTTCTGATCTCCTCCAAAGTTCTAGGTTCCGATAACTCCAACCTTCTTACTTGTTTCTCTGAGCCCAGAGATGATAGCTGCTCTTTGCAATTATTAATTTTGGAATACCTCAAAGCTCTCATTTTATTCTTTTAGTCCTGTAACAACCATGTAACCAATTCCTAAATTAATTTCCCTGTATTGAAATATCTCATGTGGTTTCTCTTTTCCTGATTGATATATCCCATATTTTCTTTTAATCCATTTTTATTTTTTTAAAGTTGTTACTTATTTTTAGAGAAAGGAGAAGGGAGGGAGAAAGAGAGGGAGAGGAACATCACTGTAGAGAGAAACACTGATTGGCTGCCTCTTGTACATGCCCCAACAAGGGACTGAACCTGCAACCCGGGCACGTGCCCTGACCGCAATACAACTGGTAACCTTCTGTTTTGTGGGATGACACCCAACCAACTGAGCCACACCAGTCTGGCCTCTCTTCATCCATTTTTTAAAAATTAAGATATATGTAACATATAATGCTATATTATAATGATAACATGTATATACTCCAAGATAAGTCTAGTTAACATCCATCACCACACAGTTACAAATTTTTCATTTTACGATGAGAACTTTTAAGATCTACTCTTTTAGCAACTTTCAAATATATAGTACAGTATTGTTAACTATAGTCACCATGATGTCCCTTACATTCCCAGGTATCGTATAACTAGAAGTTTGTACCCTTTCACCATCTTTACCCATTTCACCCATATTTTCTAAGATAAAGATTCTAGCAAAGGATCAAGAATTACAATTAAAATAATAGCAATTAATTACAAGAGATATATATTTGTACACCACCTGGCCTTACTCACATAATCTTTTCTGATATCAAACATGAAATCCTTTTTACCTTTTTTGCCTTTTCTAGCAACTTAACAGTCATATTGCCAGTTCCAGGTCCAACTTCCAGTACCACATCAGTTGGTCGTAAGGCAGCCTGCAAATAAAACAACCAAACCACCACTTTAGCTTCATTGGCACATCTGAACACATAATTTAATTTACATCTGAATATTTTTGCTAGAAAGCGCTCAATTAATAGATTTTATTTTAACTCCATTTTTAGGAATTTCTTAATAATCTATACACTTAACAAAATTATCAAACATTTGGTGCAAATGGAAAACTGACACCTATCCTAACTTGCGGCAACTTTAGGAGTCAGAAAAGCATACTAGCCCTGGCTGGCTAGTTCTATTGGTTAGAACATCGTCCGGATACGCCAAGGTCACAAGTTTGATCTGGGTCAGGGTACACATAAGAATCAACCAATGACCTGGCTGGTATAGCTCAGCGGATTGAGCGCAGGCCTGCAAACCAGAAGATCGAGGTTCGATGCCCAATCAGGGCACATGCCTGGGTTGAAGGCCAGTTCCCAGCAGGGGACACACGAGCGGCAACCCTATACGTTGATATTTCTCTCCCTCTCTCCTTCCCTCCCCCTCTAACGATAAATAAATAAAATCTTAAAAAAAAAAATCAACCAATGAATGCAAAGGTGGGTGGAATAACAAATCAGTATTGCTCTCTTTCTCTCTCTCTAAATCAAGGAATAAACTTAAAAAAATTTTTTAAAAAGGAAAGCAGAACAGCAGTTCTTTCTGGGTTGGCATTCTACTTTCTACCTTGAAAATGATTTCAATAGCATCTTGTTACCAACTCTGTAATTAATAAGTTGAAACTGGAAAGGACTCTATATAATGACCTTGCCTGAGAATCACAGCATGCTGTGCCAGGATTTTTCAAGTCTCAACCCATGTATGTTTTCAGGGATGCAGGAGTAACCAGAAATTGTACAGCTGTGGTATTCTGGGTCCACAGCTATTACCAGATGCGCAAAAGAATCCATGAACCAAAAATGTTAAAAAGCTAGGACTACACTCATTTTGTAAATAACAGGAAGTCAAGATGAAATCCTTTAATTGTGTAATGCTCTTTCCACAGCTCCAGGATGCCTCCTTTGTAGCCATAAAAGTAATTTGCATCTCCTATATTTCAAGTATTAGCAACCAATCATCCATAACAATAAGGGAACATCAATACCCCATAATGTGTAACAGGATTATGTAAGTTTCTCTGGGGAGGAATAAAATTCCTAAGATGTCTGTTTAGACATTTCTTTAGGCTCTGGAGTAAATAAAAGCTAATAGTCATAGATGATGCCTAGAAAAAGTGATTGGGGAATAATAATAATAATCTGGAATTAAATAAATGTCCACCTACAAAGTAAATAACCTATAGAAAGAAAAAAAAAAAACCTCTGGGCCGGTAGAAACCCAGATCCACAGAATGACGCAAATCATGGCAAAGACGGCTTGTGAAACCTATACAATTCTTCAGTTCATTCAACAAGTCTTTATTAGAGCATCTATTTTGTGCTAGGCATTCTCTCAGTGCTTAAATATTCCTAATAATAATTACCCAGTAACTACCTCCTTTTCCACACTCACCTTATCGATAATGCTGTTGACAATGAGAGGATTTTTCAAAATGTGCTGCCCAATCCCTGTATTGAACATGAGTCCTGAAAGAAAACATGAAACAGCCTTAATTTCCCAACTAACATTCGAGAGACATTAGACCGTCCCAGATAACAAAAAGCACGTTGGAGGACAAGAGGCATCAACGCATACTTGAAGCCGAGACTGACACACTAAATCCATCCTTCCTTTGGAAAGGAAGCCAGAGCCAGCGAGCAAGGCCCATAGCCGGCGCCCCCGAATCCCCAGACCCGCGCGTTCCAGGAGGATAGGTCTTGACCAGTCCCACTGCCCCGGCCTAGAACTCCGTCAGCATCCCAGGCTTGGTGCTGCCAGAATACTCAGTTCCTGCCAGGATGACCCACCTCCAGCGCTCTTCAGCTCGCAACGCTGTTGCTGCCGATCGCGGCGGCGGCCGCTCGCCCCGGACTTGATCTTCGGCATCTGTGCTGCCAGCCGACCCAACAGCCCAGAAAGTCAGCGGGGACCTAAGGTGGCTACTCAAGTCTCCGCACCACGTGGGACTCACGGCCCGCCCCAACCACACCGCTCACTGCGCGGGTTGGGTACAAAAGCGGAGAGGAACCGCCCCTTGTTCTCTCTGGGCTCCGCCCCCAGGAAAAGGACTCACTTTGGAGCCCAGTGGCCGCCGGGCATTGTAGTCACAAACTAGAGCTTTGAGAGCCTACAGATCCCAGAAGACACCGCGATACCAATTCTGGAAGTTTGAATAAGCCAGTTTGGAAATGGGGTGTGTCCTGTCTCAGTTCGCACAGTTAATTACGTAGGTTTTGCTTTGGTACTCTCTCGAGTTTGTAGAGGAGGTTTAAGGTATATGATGCGATTATGCCTTGTGGATTCTTTATCAGACCAGATTTTGGGATCACTGATGTCCGAAGAAGGTTTCTGTCACGTATTTCGCTCCCGTTTCCCAGCAAATGTTGGAGTGGGAAACCCAGGAGTTTGGGGTGCGGCGTTTGCTGCTTGGGGGAGTGAATTCTCTGCTTTTTGCGTTGTGGAAAGTAATTCCGAGAATGTAGTAAGTGTCTAGTTCCACTACAACTACTAGATGCTTCTCTTCTTCTTGTGCCACGTCATTCGCCCTAAGCGTTTTATTGAGCTCCAGATGTTTATTAAATACTGCTTGGTGGTGGAGATTCAAAGTTAGATATGAAACTGCTCTTCTCAAAGTTTATTCCATTGAGAGAAACAAACAAAAAAAATCCTAAATTAAGTAAATGTGGCAGTTGGTATGCACCAAATATTGTGATGTGCTAGTGTATCCAACCATAAGCTCATGAGTACAAGGTCAATATCTGTTTTGCCTGCCTGCGTAGAGGCTTCAGTTATCAATGTTTCTGTGTGTAACCTATTTTTCTTGAAGACGTTTTTTTCTGTCATTACCAAAGCTGACCTTCCCTTTGCGATTAATTGTGTGCATTCCTGAGCCTTGGTCTTTCTTTACTGTAATTTAAACTGAGAAGATTTATATACCCTAGTAGTATCTTCAACTACCTATTTCATTCTGGAGAATCTAGTGTGCCAGCCCCTGTGTCAAATGTTAGGAATAAAAAGATGAACATGACACGATCCCTGCTTTTAAAGAATTTTCTGTCGACATGGAGCCGTGCAAATAATTTCAATAATGGAGACATTTCCTCATCAATTAGGTGCCCAGTGCTTTAATTACATTATCTCATGTAACACTTTCAATTCTCTGAAATAGGTCTTCTGTACATTTTACAGATAAGAAAAATGAAGGACAAATTTAATACCTAGCTGAAGATCATACAGTAAAGATAACAGCCTCATCTTGAACCTGGGTCTGTATTGCAAAGACTGCTTTTAAAAAGGTGTGATCATAGCACTATGGTTAGTACATGAGGAAATTGGGGGGACATTTTCAAAATAAAATACCTGAGCCAGTCTTTATTTTATTTTTTATATACAATTTTCCCTTTTTTAAAAAAAGTTTTTTAATATATGTTTTTATTTTTCTGAGCTGAATTTTTAAAGGACAAAGTTAGCCAAGAGCTGGTTTGGCTCAGTGGATTGAATGCCAGTCTGCAAACCAAAAGGTCCCTTTCTCCATTCCCAGTCAGGGCATGTGCCTGAGTTATAGGCTGGCTGCCCACTAGGGGGCGTGCGAGAGGCAACCAATTTGTGTATATTGCACACGCGGATGTTTCCCTCTCCCCTTCCCTTATTTCCTTAAAAAAAAAAAGTTAGCCAAGGGAAAGTTGGGGCTTCAAAGGGAAAAACACAAACAAAGCCTAGATATAAAGATGTTTAATAAAGGAAAAAAAACTTGGTGTAGCTGGGGAATAAGTAGGTAAGGTAAACAGGGACTTACTGTGAAGGAGCTAAAATGGTATGCTCACCACTTTGCCCTCACTGCGCTCCACCACGCTGTGAGAACTGTTGGAGACTGCACAGCAGTGTAAAGAGACATTCATGGGCTCCATATTTAGCTGGGTTCTGAACCCTGCCCAGCTCCTCTTCTTGAAGTCCCTCTTATCTCCCTCTTCCATTTGCCATAAAGGATCTTTAAACCTTCTTAATTCTTCTCATTCCTCCTTCCTTACCACCTGTCCAGTTCCTCAGCAGAAGACCTTGCCTTTTATGTCTCAGAAGGAATGCAAGGTCACCTAAGGACATTCTCATCTTTCCAGGTCACTGTTCTACACAGTGAAAGTGCAGTGATGAGCAAAATAAAGTGGAGCTTATATCCTAGGGAGGAAAAACAGATTATGGCCCTGGCTGAGTAACCCAGTCGGTTAGAGCATCATCCAGTACCCAAGGTTGCAGGTTGTATCCCTGGTCAGGGCTCAAACAAGAATCAACCAATAAATGTTGGATAAATGGAATGACAAATCAAACTCTCTCTCTCTCTCAGTATCAATAAATATAAAAAATTAGATAAAAAACAGGCATTATATCAGGTGGTGATAAGTGTGAAGAAAAAAGCAAAACAAAGGAGAAAAAGACCAACAAAGTGGGTGGGAGAAGCTATTTTGACAATAAGAATGGAAACCAAATGATAATTTTGAAAAAGACTTTATTTATTTTCAGAGAGAGGGGAAAGGAGGGAGAAAGAGGGAAACATCAATGTGCGGTTGCCTCTCGCACGTCCCCCATTGGGAACTTGGCCTGTGGGCCAGGCATGTGCCCCGAGTGGGAATTTAACCTGTGATGCTTTGGTTCACAGGTTGGTGCTCCATCCACTGAGCCACACCAGCCAGGGCCCAAATGTAATTTTCTTTTTGAGTAAAATAGCAAGACCGTCCTGGAAGAGGTCACATGTTTTAAGCCACATAAACTAAATCACTGAGGTGAATGTGTATATTTAGTTTATGCAGAGACTAAATTGGTGGTTATCTAGCTATGAACCTTGAGCCTCCTGCATAACTGTTCCCCAGAAAATTTATAGATTGAAGCCCTAATCTCTAGTGCCTCACAATGTGACTGTATTTGGAGACAGATCTTTAAAGGGGTGGGTAAACTAAAACGAGATCTTCAGGGTGTGACCTAATTTAGTATGTCTGGTCCATGTGAAAGGAGGAAGTCTGGACAAAGACACACCTGAGGGGTGGGTGTACAGAGGAAAGACTATTTTAGAACACTGGGAGAACCCACAATCTGCAAGGTAGGAAGAGAATCCTGAGGAGAAACTAACTCTGCTGACACCTTGATCATGGATTTCTAGCCTTCAGGGCTGTGAGAAAGTTCATTTCTGTCATTTAAACCACCCACTCGGGGATTTTGTTATGGCAGCCTCAGTAAACTATGTGATACAGAATGTAACGAAAATTCACACTTCCAAGCCCCACCCTACACATTCTGGATCAGAGTGGGATTGGACCCTGGCCAGTACAGTTTAACAGACCATCTAGGAGATTCTGATTCACAGGGAAAGTGGAGGATTCACTACTTTTTGCAGTAAGATAACAAATGATCAATTTCTACAGAAATGAAAAAAGATGGGGAGGGCTACCATCATCAATACAGGGAAGTGGTTATAATAATTGGGATCATATTATTTTGGCTGAATTTCATCCTTTTTTTTTCTGTTAGCCAAGGCAGCCTTCAGAAGTGAGACAATATTGGATGCACCACGGAGCCAACTGTGAGTCCTAGGGAATTGTGTGACGCTGGATATGAGCTGTGATAAAGAAATAGCATTGGAAATTTATGCTGGAAGGTATTAGTTTTCTTTGCAGCTACAAATGGCTTAGTAATTATAAAAATAATTTCATGCTTCTCTGGTTTGTGTTTATATTCTTTATTAATTAAAATAATTATTTTTCAATTTGGGTGTGCACGAATTGACTCATTGCCATTCTTTGAGTTTTAGATTGTTAATAAAATGATTTTAACTTCAAAAAGAACTATAATAGCATTTGCTTTGGTAGGAAAAGAGGCTTATTTACATGTACAGCATGCTTGAAATAACATTTTAAATGTGCCAGGGGATATAATGAATAAAAATAAAGTATTGTGAAAGAAGCCAATGTTTCTTTAATTTATCATTTGCTTCATCAGCTTTCTGCTTTCTCTTCTCAATTCTCAACCATTTTGGGAGGAAAGCACTGAATTTATACTTGTATTAATATTTTCAATATATTCTGAACACATCAAATGATGATTTAATTTAAATTAATCTAAATATTTGATTTCCCTTTCCTCAGAAGAACCTAAGAATGTGAGGCTGTAACAATGATATGCAGTAATATGAGATTATACAGCTGTACATGTTTGTTTTGTACCCATTATAAGTGATGAGGTTATACATTCATAGTAGCTGAAAAAAGGACCTCCAGGTGAATCTTAATTTGGGTCCTGAGATTTGTGTAGACTAAATTTTGCATATGTGCATTTTTCTAAGTTACAGCTTTCCTTAGATTTTTCAAGGGATCCATTATCCTAAATAGAAAAAACTTATTTTTGTAGACCAATTTCTTCATTTTAATTTAAATTTGGCTTTTTTCTTTATTGCATGTTCCTTATAGCCTTGTTATTCAACAGATGATCTATGGGCCAGCAACATTGGCATTAACTGGAATCTCATTAGAAATGAAGAATGTCAAGCTCCACCTCACACCAACTAAATCAGAATGTGTATTTTAAAAACGTCCCCATGTGATTCTATGCACACTTAAAATTTGAGAAGTACTACCTTTTCAGTAAAAATCAGAAGATACAAGTAAGCCAAAAAAAGAAAAGAAAAAAATCCCACGATATTATTCAACTAGTGACAAATCTTGTTAACATTTTGGTATATATTTATTTTCCAAAATGGAATCATCCTGAACAGTTTTGTAACTACCTCCCTTTGCAATGCAATGTTAATGCATTAACTTGTCAACAAAATTATGTGCACATAATTTTTAATGGCCAATTTGTATTTTATTACATATGCATTCATCATGATTTAATCATTCCTTTCTTGGCAGTTATGTAGGTAAATTTTATGTTTTTACTTTAAAACCAGGCCTGTGGGTCTGGGTGGTGTGGCTCAATTGGTTGGGGCACCATCCTGTGGTGGGTTCCATTACTGGTCGGGACACAGGCCCAGGTTGAAGGTTCCATCCAGGGTCAGAGCTTAGGAGAGGCTGCTTCTATCTCATGTTATTCTCCCTCTGTGTCGCCCTCTCTTCACATCTCTTCCAAAATCAATAGGCATGTTTTGGGTGAAGATAAAATAAAAACAGCCCTGTGTGGTGAACATTTTTATAGTGCAGGACCTATGATTGCCTGTTTTCAATCTTAACACAGCCATTTACTAGCTGTGTGATCGTAGGCAGGTTACTTGACCTCTCTGTGCTTTAGTTTCTTTATCTGTAAAATGAGCATAATAAAAATCACCTAATAGTGTTGATTTGAGGATTAAAATACAGGATTCATATAAAGGTCTTAGAACTGTATCTGGCACACACTAAATGCTCAATAAATGTTATCTACTATTATCTCTGTGAACACTCACCTACTTCCTCACAACTTCATTCTAAAATTAAGAAAACTTAGGTCACTAAGTTAGTTAGCAGAAGCAGGGAGAACTGGACTTCCTTTTTAATCTTTCCACCCTTTCTATTGTTGTGGAGTAGAGCGCCCATCAAGTTTAGGATATTAAAACATAAATATTAGTGAAAATAGGATTATTTTAATAACTTTTCTGCAGAGACGGGCCCGTAAAACAATGCAGTTTAGCAGCTAATATCTCAAATAGGGAAAGGAAAATGCTCCTGAATCAAGCTTCAGTCAACTCAGGAGACAATTGATTTTTCTGGGAAAGAGGAAACCCCGCCCTATGGTTTCTATGGTTACAGCTCCCTCAGAGTCCAGGCTCCAGGCTCTATACTGCGCAAGCGCATACTGTGATTTAGCCATCCGGCGCCTTCGGTTTCGAAGGAAAAACCCCTCCTTCCTTTTCCCTCCGTCGTCCACTCGCCGCCTCTCTTGGCCTATTCCTAGAGCAGTGGGAGTCTGTGACGTAATATTCGAGCGTCCGTGTCGTTTAAAGCTGCGACGCTGAACATGGCGCGTTCCTAGAAGCGGTTTTCGGCTTCAGTAGGAGGCAGCGTGTGGACTGCGAGCGTGGGGCGCCGGACCAACCGACGCGGCTTCGTGTTGGGGAGTCGAAGCAGGAGAGCTGGGCTATACCAGGTGGAACTAAGCGGTGAGGTCCGGGCCTGAGAGCCCCAGAGCGCACGCGAGTGAAAGGAAGGAGTGGGTTGGGCAGCGGAGACCTTCGCGGCCGGGAAGGGACGTGGGGCTAAAGGGAGGTGAGGGATAGCTGCGGCGCGGCGAGGGCCTGCGGACCTGACTCTTTGCGTAACCCCAGGAACCCGTGGGAGCTCTGGGCTCTCCCAGTCGTCCTGGAGCGGGAAGCGTGGTCATGGAGTTGTCGGGGCGCCTGACGGCAGACACTGAGTCCCAAGATGAAGAGATCGTAGGGTGCCCGTTGTGGCTGTGGTTGAGGACCAGGGGTTGCATTTGCCCTTGGGGGATAGAGAGACCGTGGTCTTCTTCGGTGTAAAGCCACCTAGCATCGTTACTGCACGCAAGGCACTGCTGCTAATAGCAGTACAGTGAAAGCTTTAATGAAGCATTAGATCCTCGCTAGCCTTTAATGAACAAGTGAAGGAAGTTACACATTTTCAGAGAGGACGTGCTTGCTGGGGGGTATGGCTGCCAAGGCTCAAGCCCATGGCCTTCTGCAGCTTTATATTTGGGGGTATTTGTGATTCAGCAAAACTGTTGGAAGCCCATTGCATTTGTCACTTTTCTTTAGTGTGGGGGGTGTGTGTGTGTGTGTGTGTGTGTGTGTGTGTGTGAGACGTGATTGAGGGGAGTATTATTTCAAAGTGGTTGATTAAATGGCTAGGACAGGTGGATTGTCTACAGGTGCCAAGATTGCTATTGACATACTCCTTCCCCACCCCAGTGGAAAGGAGCTCCGTTGTAGCGCAGCAGTGTCCTTGAAATTTGGTTATTTTTCAGAAGGAAGTAGGGAAGAGCATTTTACAGTCATAGATTTCCACCATTCCCTCCTCCCCTTGGATAGGGAGTTCAGGCCTCCATTTTCATATTATTTCAGATTTCTCTATTCAGTACGGAGGCTTCAAGTTAAGGACAGATTGACTCTACAATATAAGGCAACCATTGCATGACACCTTTTCTTACATCCTTCATCATCACGAGGAAGATTTCTGTGAAATTACAGTGAAAATCTTTCCCTATTGGTTGTGATAGGATTGCACAGGGAATAGTTGAAACAGTTTAATTATAGCATTGCTTTGTGGCAATATGTTATAGCTGTAGGGCAGCTGGACTGCTCTGTCCTAGTTAGACTTTCTAAAGCAGAAGAGAATTCTCACCAAAAAGAATTTAGTTATAGTAATATGATTAAAGGTTCTAAACAAATATGTGGAAATTATTTGGTAACATGAAAATCTTTAGATTATGTGATACTGTGAATGTGTTTGCATTCAGATTAAACCAGAATGCAAAATATTATTGGTAGACTGAGACACTAAAGGTTTTTTCCCAAGATAAATACATGGTTTTTTAGAAATAGAAATATTCATATTTTGAAAGATAATATGTTTGACTAGATAGATTTTAACCTTTGTGTAGTATGGATGTAGGTGTGTGTATTTGTATTTAGTTTTGGGCTTCTCCTAATTTTGTGTTATTTCTGGCAATATTGTTCATTATTTTCTGTTGCACCAAATGGGGATTGTTGAATATTAGAGTGACTCAGGGAATGGTAAGACATGCTTACAAGCCTTGTAGGGCTTGAGCCAGATCAGTGTTCTACACAAAGTGTAGTATATGGCATCACCCGAGAGTTCGTTGAAATTGTACAATCTCGGGCTTAACCCCAGAGCTACCGAACCAGAATCTGCACTTTACAAGCTTTCCACATGGTAGGAATATACCTTAAAGCTTGAGACACACAACTTTGGTTGGTAAAGAAGACTGAGATTATGCATAAAAATTATAGCATCAATTTATTTTAATTTGAGGTGATCTTATGCTGATTATAGAGGCTGATATATTTGGTTGAAGAAACTTAAGACCCAGCAATGGTTAGTGACTTTCATAAGGTCACACATAGCTAGATGTAAAACCCAGGGTCTGACTCATTGTATTACTTTTCATTTACTAGTTACTGCCAGATTATTAAAATTGAACTAAAGCTTTCATGAATGACAGCTAAGTATTCATTCAACAACAAACATTTATCATGTAATAGGCAGTTCAGTAATCTTGTGTGTCTTTAATTAAACTGCTTCTGTTTCTTCTGCCAAGATTGCTATTGACATACTCCCTCCCCACCCCAGTTGGGGAGCTCTGTTGTAATGCAGTAGTGTCCTTGAAATTTGTTTATTTTTCAGGAGGAAGTAAGGAAGATCATTTTACAGTCATAGATTTCCACCATCCTCCCTCCCCTTGGATCGGGAGTTCAGGCCTCCATTTTCATGTTATTTCAGATTTCTCTATTCAGTACTGAGGCTTCAAGTGAAGGACAGATTGACTGTACAGTATAAGCCATCCATTGCATGACACCTTTTCTTTCATCTTTCATCACCGAGGAAGATTTCTGTGAAATTATAGTGAAAATCTGTGGTGATAACCCATGATGGTTATTAACCTTCCATATCCTTTCCTCCTCAATCTTTCCTGGATAAAGTTGCTTTCTACTTGACAAAGGATTGATGGAAACTGAGAACTTCATTGCTTTTTGTCTTCTTTCATCTGCAAACATTTCTACCTCTTTCTGTCCATCTTTAAATGCTCTAAGATTTTTTACTCAATGACAGTGTTTCCTCAGTGTATTGGTTTGCTAGGGCTGCCATAATAAAATATTTTAGATTGGGTGACTTAACAGAAATTCATTTTCTTACAGTTTAGGAGGCTGGAAGTATAAGATTCCAATGGGATTGGTTTCCTCTGAAGCCTTTCTTCTTGATTTACAAATGACCACCCATTTCTGGCTCTTTACATAGTTATACTTTTGTACACTAGAACCTCTGGTATATTTTTTAAATTAGAACACCTATTGAATGATGACCTCATTTTATCTTAATCACTTCTTCAAATATTTTACCTCTAATACTAAGGATACTGGGGTGATGCCTCCAATATATTAATTTTGGGGGAATACACTTTAGTCTATAATCTCCTTTTTACTGTGGACTGTCACTAATTCATCAGGATTTAAACACAGTCATCTTCAGTATTCTCTCCTCACTCTAAATTCATCTTCAGTTTCATCGGTAATTATTTCCTTAAGTTTCTTGAAGGTTGTTATCTTCATTCTCTCCACCTCCTTATTACTTTTCCCCCTTAATATATTGAAGTCAATCTACTGCAGTCACTGAATTTAATGTGGATGATGATCCATTGATCTCTTTGTTTTGAAATGAACTGGCATCCTTTTAGTAATTTGATTTGATGAGTTCTTGTCTGAAGTGCTGTTATGTTTCTGCCACGCTATAGTTTCCTTGTTTCCCTCCTATGTCTTGGTTTATTATTCTGTCTTCTCTGACCACTGGGATATTTGTTTCACTTGGGATCCTGTCCTCTGCTTCTCCCCACTCTCCTTGAATGGTCTTAGCTCTGATGACTTCAACTGCTCTCTCTATTTTGAGGAGTCCCAAATCTCTGCCTCTTTAGCACATATTGCTATTCAGCTGACACATTGTTGCTGTCTTAAGGTACTCATGTCAAAAATTGTTTCTCACCATTTCTGAAGTTGTTTCTCTTCCACCTTCCTATGGTTCTTATGTGCATCACCCATTCGGAGATGCCCAGAGGCTTCATTCTTCCTTGTTATTATCCTATATGGTACTTTTTCCCTGCTTAACTATGTATTTATTAAATCTTGCCTTTTTCATCTACCTTTTCCCTGTGGTTACTACCTTGGTTCAGAGTATCATTATTATCTGGATGTCTTTGTTGTAAACCTAAATAATTTGCTTGCTTCCAAGAATACATACCTTCCCTCTCAACCCTTTTTTTTTTTTTTTTTTTTTTTTTCTGTAGGCAGGTTGCATTGTCTGCAGTTTATCTCTGTAGAGTTTTAGGTTAAAATCCAAACCACCAAGCCTAGAAAATAAGAACCTTAATGACTTGGGCCTTGCTTGCTTTTGCTTTCACCTTCTGCTATTTCCTGCCTCTTATTTTTCTGTCATGCTGAACTATTTACAATTCTTCAGAAGTTTTAGGATGCTTTTTAAAATTGAGATATTTACATGTTGTGTGTCTTCTAAAATGTACACCTGTCTGACAAACACCCAAATTGTACTCTTCTCCATAACTCCTACTTAACAGAAATGCTACATATTCCCTCCTGGGAAGCCTTCCCCAGCCTCCATATGGTGCGTTAGGCTTTTTACATTCTTCTGTAACAGCTTATTATAGCACTTATACTATATTGTAATTGTTGCCTTTTTTCCTTTCTAGACTTGAATGCAAATACCCTTATTTATGTCTCAGAGTAGTGCCTGGCCAGTAGAAGCTGTTTCATTGTTAAATGCAAGTTGAATTACCATGCAAGTTGAATTACTGGAGCTGAAAAGTTGGGATGTTATATACCCTGGAGGTTCGATCAAGTGGGCTGGAAAAGTCAGACACGGATTTGTTTTTGTGTCTTTACACAACTGGAAGCAGAGATTGAGATTTAGTCATTGAATTAATTAATAAATTCATTCACTTAGGGAGAGAGTTGAGGTGAGAAAAGGAGAAACATCGATATGCAAGAGAAATGGCAATCACTTGCCTCCTCAACTGAGGTCGAACCTGTGACCTTTCAGTCTATGGGTCAGCGCTCCAACCAACAGAGCTACACCAGCTAGGGCTGAATTCATTATTTAACATATATTTTTTCATCACTCTTCATATGTGGCAGTTACTGTTCTAGATTCTAGTGATACACCTTTGAACAAATCAAAGTCCTTAGTCTCTGGACCTTAAATTTTAATCAGGAGAGCCTGGACAATAAACATATACATGAGGATGTCAAACAGCTAAATGTGTTATTTGTAAAAATAAAGAAGGATATCTAGACCAGAGAGATTCTGGGTTGGAGGGTGAGCTATTTTAGATTGGGCAGTCAGAGAAGACTTATTTGATTAGTTAATAACTTGAGTAGAGACTGGATTGAAGTTA